CTGTATTATACTATGTGGTAGGGGACAGTGAATTAATGGATGGAAACAGTCTTCAAAAGGAATACGTCGAAGGGGGCTACCAGGTGGCATAGTGGCTAAGGCATTGGACTCCCATGTGACCAACCACAATTTGAATCCCAGACCCAGCAGCTTGAAAGTCATGCCGGGGCACATGTGTGTGTGTGCCCAAAATCCTGGGAGGAGAATGGAGGAGAGGGGATTGTGGCAAGGCTAGTCTCCCCCTCGTTTTCTGTCTCTCTGGTGAGCTTACCTGCCCTATAGCAAAAACCTCTCAAAAAAAAAAGAATACGTAGGAGACATGGTTATTAACAGATCTTTGGCCTCCTGTCCTCAGCACTACTCCCCAAATCCTCTTTCCCCACTGTAAACCTCAAACCATTTCCCCTTCTGCAGTTTATTATATTTTCCAGAGGAATAAGAACTCCAGAGATTTCAGCGTGCCTACCTAGTTTTCTGGAAATGGAGGCGTCCAGGCCAGCAGACCTGACCCCCCACTCACAGTGGCCGATCTTCATCCAGAGCCCGGCTCCTCACTCGTGCCTTGCCCTCCTGGAGAGACCACCATTCGTTCCACTTCAGGGCTGGCGGCTGAGTCAAAAGAAGCATGAAGGCAGAGGAGGCGTGACTCGTTAGCCCGTGGGGACCTGCCTCTGAGCGCTGCGACTCCAGGGGCAGCTGAAGGTCCCACCAAGCCTCACATCCCCTTCCTGGGGGCCCCAGATCCGAAAGCCAGGCGCTGTCTCCAGCAGGCCCCTTGTAAGTTCCACTGTGCCTTGAGACAAGTGAAATTACTTATTAAAGGGAGAAAAGAAAAGAACAGAGACTTAGAAGGATTTGCCAACAGGATGGAAAGCAGCCTGGGAAACTCAGGGTGTTCCCATCACATCCTCACCTCAATTAATGATGGGTACTCCAGTATCGGTACCCTCGAATGGGGGCCCCGGCGAGGAGGGCGAGCCAGACCCAGGGCTGACTACCAGGGATTTATAGGCAAGGCCATTACTTACCGTCAGCTCTGGAAACGTGCCCAGGTAACATGCGAGTCCAACAAAAAGCATCCAGCCCAGCACGATCATGACTAAAAGCAAAATAATGTCTAATATAATTGCACAGAGACTATGTTATTCACCAAGATCTTAGCACAGGAGTGTGCTCATGAACCCGAGTTGGTAGAGATCTCGCATGTCAGTTCCATTCCTTGCCTCCAAGGGATCTGCGATTCTCTAGTGGACGAGCTGAGTCTCATAGGGCATTGTGACATCATTGGGCATGCGGCCTAGACTCAACACTTCAGAGATACGAGCCGAGCCCCCAGACCAGGAGCTGGGCAGCGCGTAAGCTCTTTGTGTAAGTAGTTACCTCATTGATGCTGGGAGGTAGTTCCTATCGTTAACCTCACTTCACTAATGAGAGAACCAAGGCTTAGACAGCCTAGGCGGCACTAAGGCGCAGGGCTGACGCTGCTGATCAGGCCAAACCCCAGCTGCCTGTTAAGAATTTGGGCTCTTGGGACCAGCAGTTAAGGTAATGGCTATGTTGCTGGACTTCCACGTAGTTGACTGCGGTTCGCAACCCGGACCCGGTGGCTTAAAACTCTTGCCGGGCACATGTGCATGCATGCCCAAGATCCCGAGAGGAGAATGGAGAAGGGATTGCGGCGTGGCCATCCCCCCTGGGGGGTGATTTCTCACTTTCTGTCTCTCTGTCTCTCTGTCTGGTGAGTGCATGTGTCCTATAGCAAAAACCTCTAAAAATAATAATAATAATTTGGGCTCTGTGAGAGGAAAATGGAGAAGGGATTGTGGCATGGCCATGCCTCCTGGGGAGTGATTTCTTGCTTTCTGCCTCTGTCTTTCTGGTGAGCGCATGTGCTCTATAGCAAAAACTTCTTCAAAAAAAAAAAATAAAGAAAAATCTGGGTTTTTACAGGATCAGCTGCCAGCGTAGCAGTTATGTCTGTCACTGGACTCCCACATGGCTTATCATGGTTCAAATCCCAGAACCAGTGGCTTGAAAATCATGCTGGGCATATGTGCGTGCATGTCCAAGATCCCGAGATGAGAATGAAGGAGAAGGGATTGCAGTGTGGCCATCCTCCTAGGGAATGATTTCTCACTTTCCCTCTCAGCCTCTCCAGCAAGCGCATGTGCCCTAAGCCAAAAACCTCTTAAAAAAAAGAAAAAGAAAAGAATTTGAGCTCTTCAGATAGAAACAAGGTTCTGGAAAGGTGTATTACTAGGCCCATGACAGTTGGGAATAAACAAACTGAATTTTAGGAACAGGAGCACTTTCTATTCCGTCTCTGCACCACCTAGCTTCCCATCTTGAAGGCTTTCTGGTCACCATTTTATACCCATGCTCTTAAACACCTTATTATTTTTTTAACAATATTTTAAATGTGTATTTTATTTCATAAGAGCATAAGAGAGCTTACGTGCATGTTGATGAACATGAGATAAAAAACGAGAGGGAAGGAGAGAGACACCCGTGCACAGAGCTCGGCACCCTGGCAGGGTCCCTTCACACTGTGTATACACACACACACACACACACACACATACACATATATATATATAAATTCTATTTTTGTCTTGCCTTTTTTTATTAAAAATTATTTAATTTTATTATTACTGTTTTTAAAAAGTAATTGTTTATTTAGGGCCAGCATGATGGTTAAGGCACTGCACTCCCATGTGGCTGACTACAGTTCAGGTTCTGTACCTGGCAGCTTGAAACTCACACCGGGTGCATGTGCCCAGAATCCCAGGAGAGCAGAGAAGGGATTCTGGTGTGGCCATCCCTCCTAGGGGGTGATTTCTCCCTGTCTCTCTGTCTCTCTGATGAGCACATATGCCCTATAGCAAAAATCTCTCAGAAAAATATTTCATTTTATTATTTTTTTTAATTTGATTGGAGAGAGGCCGAGAGAGGAAGGGGAAGTGAAAGCAAGCCACCAAAACCAGGATTCAAACTATGGTCAGCCACGTGGGAGTCCAGTACCTTAACCACCACGCCACTTGCTGGCCTCTCCATATATTATTTTTACATCCTATTTATTTTCATTACTTTTAAATTATGAAAATAGTAGGAAAATGTGCAACTATCCAAAGGTGTATTAAAGAAAACGTAACATCCTCCATCCCTCTCCTCAAGTCTCAACCCCATGTTATAATCAGTACTACCAGCCTGACACATACCGGGCTGCCAAGGACCTCTCCATCTTGCAAACATCGATACGCACATAGAAGAACACGGAGGGTTCCCCCTGAGTACGTAGAAGGACACGGAGGGTTCCCCCTGAGTACGTAGAAGGACACGGAGGGTTCCCCCTGAGTGCTGTTTTACATAGCGGTGATCATACTGCACATGGCACTATGCAACTGGCTTTTGTCCTGCAACAGTACGTCATGAACACACGGTCAGCTGACAAAAAGTCCCCTCAAGGGACCAGCAGTTAGCGTAATGGCATGTCGCTGGAGTCCCATGTAGTTGACAGTGTCAAGTCCCCGACCCGGTGGCTTAAACTCACGCCGGGTGCGTGTGCGTGCGTGCCCAAGATCCCAAGAGGAGAATGGAGGAGAAGGGATTGCGGTGTGGCCAGCCCCCCTGGGGGGTGATTTCTCGCCTTCTGTCTCTCTGTCTCTCTCTGTCTTTCTGGCAAGCACATGCGCCCTATAACAAAAACCTCTCAAAAAAATTTAAAAAGTCTCCTCCATTCATTTGTTCATTTAATAATAAACTTTATTGAGGTATAATTTACACATGGTAAAATGCTTTCTTTCACAGACAGCTAAATTTGAAAATGTGTTTATCTTGGAACTACCACCACAATATAGAAAAAATTTGGATTATCTCCAAAAGTTCCCCTTTGCTTCTTTGCAGTTAATCCCCTCCCCAACCCCTTGGTTCCTGGAAACCTCTCCTGTGATTTCACATTTTTCAGAACTTCCTATAAATGGAATCATAAGCTTTTTCATGTTTCTCCTACAGCAGTTCATTCTGTTTTATTGAAAAGCATTCCACTGTACAGACACACCAGCGTACCAGTTCAGCTGCTGAAGGATATATGCAGTTTCCGGTTTGAGGCTATTATGAATAATGATACTGTGAATACCTGTGAACAGTATTTTGTGCGAACATAGTTTTAATTTGCCTAGAGGTAATACTCATAGGGTAACTGCTGGGTCATATGGTGAGTACCTGTTTAAAATCTTTCTCTTCGGGGGGCCGGCAGGTGGCATGGTGGCTAACCGTTGGACTCCCACATGGCTGACCGTGGTTCTCCCAGATGTGGCAGTTTGCTTTCTCACTCTCTCTTTCTCTTGTCAGATTATAAATAAATAAATTTAAAACTTCTCTTTGGAGCCAGCAGATGGTATAGTGGTTATGTCGCTGGCTTATCATGTAGTGGACCATGGTTCGAGTCCCAGGCCTGGTGGCTTAAAACAGGCTGGGCACATGTGAGTACGTACCCAAGATCCCCAGAGGAGAATGTTCCCTAGAGATTTTTGCTATAGGGTGCTTGCACTTGCCGGAAAGACAGAGAGAGATGGAGAGACAGAAGGTGAGAAATCACCCCCCGGGGGGATGGCCACGCCGCAATCCCGTCTCCTCCATTCTCCTCTCGGGATCTTGGGCATGCACACACATGCACCTGGCGTGAATTTAAGCCAACGAGTCTGGGACTCGAATTGTGCTTGACTACATGGAAGTTCAGCGACATAGCCATTATGCCAACTGCTGGTCCCAGAGCAAAAATCTCAATTTTTTTGGTTTCTCTTTATCACTAGCTTCAGCCATTGTATTTTGGTGTATCAGTGTGTTATTTTCTTTTCTTTCTTTCTTTCTTTTTTTTTTTTTTTTTTTTTGTGAGGTTTTTTTTTTAGGGAGGGTGCCTAGAAAGAAAGAGAGAGACAGAGAGACAGAAAGCGAAAAATCACCCCCCAGGAGGATGGCCATGCCACAATCCTTTCTCCTCCATTCTCCTCTCTGGATATTGGGCACGCATGCACACGCACCCGGTGTGAGTTTAAGCCAATGGGTCCGGGACTCGAACTGCAGTTGACTACATGGGAGTCCAGAGACATAGCCATTACGCTAACTGCTGGTCCCCATGTGTGATATTTTCTAAATGTTTCCTCTACCTAGGGTTCAATGAGTTTCTTGGATCTCTGAGTTTATATTTTTAATCAAATTGGAAAAAATATTTTGCTGTTATTTCTTCCTTTTATTTTTATTACTTACTTATTTTGCTATAGGGCAAGTGTACTTGCCAGATAGAGAAAGAGACAGAAAAAGAGAGGGAAAGTGAGAAATCACCCTCTACTGAGGATGGCCATGCCACAATCCCTTCTTCATTCTCTTGGAATTTTGGGCACACCCACATATGTGCCCGGCATGTTTCAAGCCACTGGGTACAGAACGTGAACCATGGCTGTGCATGTGGGAGTCCAGTACCTTAACCACTACATGCTGGCCCTAGTTTTGTAGCCTTTTTCTCCTTCCTAAAGCTACCACTATTTTTTTTTTCTAGAGATATTTTTGCTATAGGGTGTATGTGCTCACTGGAGAGACAGAGATAGAAAATAAGAAATCACTCCCCAGGGGGTTCGGCCATGCTCCAATCCCTTCTCCTCCATTCACCTCTTGGGACTTTGGACACTCATGCAAATGCACCCAGCATGAGTTTAAGCTACCAGGTCCGAGATTTGAACCATGGTCCACTGTGTAGGAGTCCAAGGACACAACCATTACACCATCTGTTGGTCTCTCAAAGCTATCACTAATATATCTCTTATTCAACAAAATCTCAGAAACAACAAAATAGGTAATATAAACCTAAATCTAAGGTAGTGGGACCAGCAGTTAGCGTAATGGCTATGTCACTGGACCCGGTGGCTTAAACTCACGCCGGGTGCATGTGCGTGTGTGCGTGCGTACGTGCCCAAGATCCCAAGAGGAGAATGGAGGAGAAGGGATTGTGGCGTGGCCATCCCCTCTGGGGGGTGATTTCTCACTTTCTGTCTCTCTGTCTCTCTCTGTCTGCCTGGCGAGCATACACACCCTATAACAAAACCCTCTCCAAAAAAAAAAACTGAGGTAGTAATTCTATCCAGGTCAACAGGTTTTGTGAAGATTAACTGAGATTGTGGCCAGCCCGTGCGTGGCCTGGCTGGATCCCACATGGTCAACTGTGCAGTTGGAGCCCAGGACCTAGTGGCTTGAAAAACATGCCAGGCACATGCGCATGTGTGCCTCAAACCCAGAAAGTTTGGAGAAATAGAGAAGACAGGATTGTAGCATGACCACACCCGGGGGGGTGCTTTCTCCCTCTCTGTTTCTCTCTGATGAGCACACATACAGGCTGGCAAACTGAAAAAAAAAAAAAAGAAAGAAAGAAAAAGATGAACTGATAAACTCTTAGCAATGTACTGCCCACACAAGAAATGCTACACACACACACACACACACACAGTTTCTAGTCATTAGCCCAGAAAAGAACTGGCAGTTGGGATGAATGGCCTTGTCCATAAAAGGCTCTTTCATAAAAGACAAGAACATTGCTCAGTCACGGCTAACTTGGTGTTAGCCGTGTTTTCCTCGATTAATGGATTTCTGGCAAGAGCTGCTATGCTACATCCTGGAGCCTCTGGAAGCTGCACAGCTTCCGAGGTTAGCTCTGACAGGGTGCAGTAATTGCCTCTATCCTTCAGCTTCTCCCAGTAACCTTCCTCCTGCCTGTCTCCGTGACCACTCTCGCCCAGGTCACCACGATCTTCATGGTGCAGAATTATTTTTTTAAAAGTTATTTTAAATTATTTAATTTTACGTATTTATTTTAATTCAATCAGAGAGGGGCAGAGAGAGAGAGGGAAAGCGAGAAAGCAAGCTACCAGGTCTGGGACCCGAACCACAGTCAGCCATGTGGGAGTCCAGCGCCCTTAACCACCATGCCACCTGCCAGCCCACAGGATTACTCTTTTATTTTTGTTTATTTATTTATTTTGGCTGTAGAGCACATGCAGTTGCTGGAGAGACAGAGAAACAGAGAAAGTGAGAAATCACCTCCCAGAGGGGGATGGGAATGCCACAATCTCTTCTCCACTCCTCCATGGATTTTGCGCATGCACACACATGCACCCAGTGTGAGTTTCAAGCCACTGGGGCCCGTGGTTTACCACAGGAGTCTGATGACTTAACCACTGTGCCACCTTCTGGCCCTCTGAATTCTTCTTTTAAAACTCAGTTCCTACCACACCTCTGTCTCACATCTGGGAACTGGCCTGACCCAGGAGGCCTTGGTGTTGTTACAAGCTGGCTCCATCCTCACAGGGAGCCAGGTTAGTCTGTGGGACATAAACAACCCCACAAAACACCCACATCAGACAAGGTCACGCAGACCATGAAAGTGAGACAAAACCAGGCCACTGTGCAACCCATGCAATACCAAACGCCCTTCTCTCTCTAATGCAATTGAGGGCGACCTCTTTAGTGTGACCCTCCCTCCTCCCTCTGCTTCATCCCTCTTACAGATAATATTTACTGAGATTCCCAGCGACAGAGTTGTTTGACAGAACCCAATCCAGAGTGAACCGTTGGCTCCTTGGCCCTCCCTCAACCAGCCTAATCCGAACATTATAGTAATATGTCCTAACACTTCCTTACTGAGCTGTCCCGACGTGGCTCCTGCAAGGACGACAAACCCATCTTGTTAAGTTCAGGTGTGTTCCTGAGGGCCCTGGTAGGAGGGCACGGGCGAGCTACCCTCCCCAACACCGCACCCCTCAAACTACTGTCCTACCTCCTAGTTCTATGATAAGGCTCCTCCTGACCCGGCTCCCCCTTCTGCTCCCTGAAATTCTGCGTTTGACGTTCCACTACCACCTCCTCCCTAAATTCAACTGCAAGCAATGCTCGGTCTCGGTCTTTTCCGATACTCTGAATTGCACACATCCTAGAAACTCTCTTCCAAACAACGCATTTCGCGACTACCTCCGTCACTGCTTCTATTCGAGTCCTTCCTGTTTCTTTCTAGATGTCCCCAGAGTTCCTTCTGGCTAGCTGGGTTGTGGATTTCTTGCCGCCAACGCGTTTCTGACCGCGCTCTCGCCACTGGCGGGCTCGGGGTTCCCAGTCGCGGCGGCAGCGCAGCCGAGCCTGGGGCGTTGGGCGGAGGCAGCATTCCCAGCCTGGGGAGGGGCGGGGCCCTGGAGCGCTCGGGTGGTTTGGGCCTCGGCGGCCTCCGTCCTAGAGCGGGCCCGGAAGAAGGTCCGGGAGCTGCGGTCGCGGAACCTTGCTGCAAGACCGGGTTAGAGATGGAATTTGACAGCGAGGGTCTGAGGCGGCCGCAGCCGAGCCTGGGGCGTTGGGCGGAGGCAGCATTCCCAGCCTGGGGAGGGGCGGGGCCCTGGAGCGCTCGGGTGGTTTGGGCCTCGGCGGCCTCCGTCCTAGAGCGGGCCCGGAAGAAGGTCCGGGAGCTGCGGTCGCGGAACCTTGCTGCAAGACCGGGTTAGAGATGGAATTTGACAGCGAGGGTCTGAGGCGGCTGCTCAGCAAGGTGCGGACAGTTTGCCGGGCCGGGCCGGGGTGGGGTTGGGGTCCCCGGATCTGGGGAGTACCTCTGCCCCTGGCCGGGCTGTCTCCGCGTTTCCCAGGTGGTCGTGGGGCGTAGAGCGGAGGCGGGCTGGGCTGTTCTGTAGCGGGGGTGAGCAGCAGGCTCCGCGAAGAGCAGCAGGCTCAGCGAGGCAGTGGGACGCGGAGGCCACCTCCCTGCGCAGGCCTGCCCCTCCCTGCACCTGCTAGGTCCCCAGCCTCCACCCGGTGCGAGTCCTCACGCCGCCAGCCTCCCTGGCCTCACGTAGCTCCCAGCGCACGCAGTCCCTGCAGCCACGCCTCTGCTCAATTCCCCATTTCCCCCTCCCGTTCTCGGTAAGACTCAACTCATGGTCACCACCTGAAACCTGGAGTCCTTCCCCCCCAGCTCTTTACCTTTTTCCAAAAAATCGATGATCTCATTGTGGAGTAACTATTTATGTGCAAACTTTATGTCTGCTGGGAACCGCATCGACGCGAGCCTGATCTGCATGTCCTGCGCCTGCACTGTGCCCGACAGCTGATAGGTTCTAAATATGCGGATGGATGAAAGACCTGAGTAGACTGAGACACGCAGACAGGGCCTGAAGGCCCAGGAGAGATTTTTTAACAAAAATTTTGGGGGGGAGCAGATGGTGTAATGGCTATGTCATTGGACTCCCATGTAGTCGACCGCGGTTCGAATCCCTGACCCGGTGTCTTAAATTCACGCCTGGCATATGTGCGTGTGTGCGTATGTGCCCAAGATCCCGAGAGGAGAATGGAGAAGGGATTGTGGTGTGGCTGTCTTCCCTGGGGGGGCGGGGGGGGATTTCTCGCTTTCTATCTCTCTTTCTGGTGAGTGCACGCGCCCTATTGCAAAATCCTCTCCAATAAAAAAAGGTTGTTTTTTTGTTTTAATTTGTGAGAGAGGAGTGGGGAGGCAGGAAGAGGAGAGGGAGAGAGAGAAAGACTCCGGGTGGATAGCCACACCGCAGTCCCTTCAACATCTCTCACTTTCCGGATCCTGGGCACACACGCCCAGGGTCCTTGACTCCAGGACTCCAGCCGTGCAGTTGGCGTGCAGCTGCCCGTGTGGGATCCAGCTGCCTTAATCACCACGCCTCTGGCTGGCTCAGGAGAGCTCTTTTTGATGTTGCAATGTTGACGTGCGGGAGGGCTGACTCAGAAGTCTGACCTGCATTTCTGGGGCCTAAGGAGAGTTTCCAGGTCAGAAGCCACTTTAGTCAAGGCTCTCTGGTTCTCCATCAGCATTCAGCGTGAGGAAAATCCCCCTTTTCGCCAGGTTCCTAGTTACGTGATTTTTTTTTTTTTTTTTTTTGCTAGAGGGTGTGTGTGCTTACTGGAGAGAGAGTAAGTACTCCTATTGAGTACCTTCTTCACCCTGCATCCCTTCTCCTCCATTTCTCCTTTGGGAGGTTGGGCCACATATACCGGGGACTGGCATGCCCCTCATGTTGCTGGGCCCAGGACTTGAGCCATGCACTCAGCCATGTGCTATCCAGCTGCCTTAACCACCCTGCCACTGGCTGACCTTTTACATGTTTTTTTTTGTTGTTGTTGTTTGTTTGTTTTTTAGATTTACTTATTTGTTTGTTTGTTGTGATTGTTAAGCTGCCAGGTCTGAGACTTGAACCGTGGTCAGCCATGTGGGAATCTAGTACCCCAACCACCAGGCCACCTGCTGGCCCCTTACCTGATTCTTAATGCTCCTTAAGACTTCCTCATGCAGAGACCATACGCATATGCCTTTTTTTTTTTTTTAAGTTTGCTGTAGGGCACATGCACTCACCAGAGAGAGACAGAGAGAGAAGGAAAGTGAAAAATCACCTCTAGCGAGATGATCACACTGCAGTCCCTTCTCCTCATTCTCCTCTCAGGATTTTGGGTACCCACACACATGCACCTGGTGTGATTTTCAAGAACCTGCCTGAGTCCAGGACTCATCAGTCATGCGTGATCCAGTCCCCTTAACCTGCACGCCACCTACTGGCCCGGTGTAGTTATTTGAACCACCAATCTACTTTCTGTCTCTATGACTGCCGGTTCTGGATATTTCATGTAACGAAGTAACGTGTGTCCTTTTGTGTCTGATTTCTTTCACTTAGCATGATGTTTTCAGAGTTCATCCACGTCAGGGCATATACCAATAACTCATCCCTTTTTATGACTGAATAAAAGCATACCACATTTTGGGACCAGTAGATGGCATAATGGTTATGTCACTGAACTCCCACATCGTCAACCACAGTTCAAATCCCAGACCCAGCGACTTAAAACTCATGCCAGGTGTGTGTGCGTGCGTGCCCAAAATCTCAAGAGGAGAATGGAGGAGAAGGGATTGCAGTGTGGCCATCCCCCTGGGGGTTGATTTCTCACATTTTGTCTCTATCTCTCTGGTGAACATCCACTGAGATTTTTTTCTATAGGGTGTGCACACCCTATACCCTATAGAAAAAATCTCTCCCAAAAAAATGCCACTTTTTATAGATGCATTCCTCAGTTGATGGGTGTTTCAATTGTGTTCACTCTTTCATAATGCTGGTATGAACAGTTGTATACAAGTATTTTTTTTTAAGTTTTTGTCATAGGACATGTGCACTCAGAAGAGAGAGACAGAGAGACAGGGAGAGGGAAAGTGAGAAATCACCCTCCCCCTCCCAAAGGGGATGTCCATGCTGTAGTCCTTCTCCTCCATTCTCCCCTTGGGATTTTGGACTCACATGTACATGCTTCTGGCATGATTTTCAAGCCACTGTGTCCGGGACTCGAACCATAGCTGACCATGTGGAAGTTAAGTGCCTTAACCACCATGTCACCTGGTAGCCCCTATATATAAGTTTTTTGTGGACATAATGTTTTCATTTTTCTTGAATATATACCCAGTAGTGGAATTACTGGATCATATTATAAGTGTTTAATCTTCTGAAGAAGTTCCAGATTGCTTTCCAAAGTATCTTCACCACTTTGCCAATAGCAGTGACATGTGTGTGAGAGAGGGAATGAGAGTTCTGATTTCTCCACATCCTCTCTGACACCGCCCTATCACTTATGGCTTCAGGAGATATTCGGGGGCAGTTTGATTTAGTGTTCAAGGCCAGGTTTGAGCTCTAGCTTTTACTGTTCATTTGTTTTTAGAGTCTTGCTGTGTTGTAATCTGCCTGCCTAGACTCCTAGCTAGGACCACAGGGACACGCCACCACGCCTGGCTTTCAGAGACAGCGTTGCTCGATTACCTGTGCTGGCCACAAACTGCAGTCCTGCCTTAGCCTGCTGGATAGCTGAGACCACAGGCACATGCCACAGTGCCCAGGTGTTGGGGTGGGCTAGGAGTCAAACCCAGGCCTCCCATGTGGCCTCAGCCTGGTGTGTAGCAGCATCTACCTTTTTATGCTACTGGGGGTGGGTCTGGCATCACTAACTTGCTCTCTGACTAATTCTCTGTATTCATTTTCTTCTGTAAAGCAGAGCAGTTGTAAGACGTATCTCTACCTCATAGGATCGTGGTCAAGTACTGTTCATGCTAATAAAGCTTGAGTCAGGCCTAGCATATAGCAGATGTTCAGTTAAATTGTTCTGTTGTTCATAGTTTTCTTCTTCTTTTTAAACATTTATTTATTTATCTATTTATTTATTGTGATTTTTTTGGCTGCCAGATCTGGGACTTAAACTGTGGTCAGCCATGTGGGTGACCAGTGCCTCAACCACCATGCCACCTGCGGTCTTCTATAGCTTTATTCTTATTCTATTCTTATTTTTCTCTTTTCAGTATAAGTTCAGAGATCTAACTGTAGAAGAACTGAAGAATGTGAACACGTTTTTTCCGCATTTCAGATATTCCATGGACACCTATGGTAAGAATCGTATGTTTTAGTTTTTGCTGCATTATTTGACCCACTCGTTTGGTCCTAGAGAGCTACAAAATCAATTTTTTTAATTTCTTTTATCCTGATTGTAAACGCTGTGGTTTCTACTTTTTTTTTTTTTGGAGGTTTTCGCCATAGGGCATGTGTGCTCGCCAGACAGACAGAGAGAGACAGAGAGACAGAAAGCGAGAAATCATCCCCAAGGGTGGATGGCCCCGCCACAGTCCCTTCTCCTCCATTCTCCTCTCTGGATCTTGGGCATGCATGCACATGCGCCCGGCATGAGTTTTAAGGCACCGGGTCCGGGATGCGAACCGCAGTCGACTACGTGGGAGTCCAGCGACATAGCCCTTATGCTAACTGCTGGTCCCAAGCGCTTGTGGTTTCTGAGGAAATGTAAGTTGGTGCCATATTGTATTAGTTTCTATTGCTGCTGCAACAGTTTGTCATGAACTTAGTGTCTGAAAAAACCCCACAAATTTGCTATCTTACAGTTCTGTAGGCTGAAGGTCCAACACACATTTCTGTAGCTTAGAAGTCTGACTGGGCTAAAATCAGGTGTCAGTAAGTCTTTATTTTGGAGTTTCTGGGAAGAATCTGTTGCCTCATATTCATTTTCTAAAAGTCACCCGCATTGCTTGACTCCTGTTTTTCTGCCTTCAGAGTCAGCAATGCTGCATGCCTTTATCCGTTTACTATAGTTAGACCTCCTACTGACTCCAGCTGGAAAGGGTTCTCTGTTTCTCTTTGTTTTGTTTTTCGCCATAGAGCACCTGCAGTCACTGGAGAGAGAGAGAGAAAGAAGGAACGTGAGAAAGCACCCTTTGGCAGGGAGTGCCATGCTACAATGCCTTCTTCTCCATTCTCCTCTCAGGATTTTGGGCACACGTGCACATGTGCCCGGTGTGTTTTTCAAGTCACTGGGTCCAGGGCTTAAACTACATAGTTTGCCAAGTGGGATCCAGCCACCTTAACCACTACCATGCCACTGGCTGGCCCAGGTCCTCTGCTTTTAGGAACCAGTGTGACCAGATTAGGCCCATGACAATAATAGGATAATTTTTCCCATCTCAGGCTCCTTAATTTACTCACATCTTTAAAGTATCTCCACTGGGGCCAGCAGGTAGCATGGTGGTTGAGGCACTGGACTCCCATATGGCCGAATGCAGTTTGAACCCTGAACCTGGTGACTTGCTTTCTCAATTTCCCTCTCTTTCTGTCTCTCTCTCTCTGATCAAATTAAAATAATAATGAATAAAATTAAATAAATTATTTTAAAAAAAACACTACCTGTGCTGGGTTAGTTAACATATTGACAGGTTCCAAACATTAGACTATAGATATCTTTGGAGGGCCTTTGTTCGGCCTATGACATAAATGACCAATTCTAAATTATTAGTAACACACTTCAGTTATTCACTTAATAAAGAGGATCTGTTTATCTAAGAAAAATCTTATTTTGTTATCTTTCAATTTTTTTTTACTACAACCCATAGTTAGAAATACATTTTATGTCATGATCTCATATGTACATAACTAAAACACTGTGTTTACTCTGGCATTTTCTCTTCTAGTTCACCCTGCATTTAATTTAAAAACAAAAGTTTATTGAGACTCGCTAAATTGATTGTAGAGCCCACAGATTAGTCAAAACAGTTTTGGAAAAGTTATTTTTCCTACATGGATGTGTTTCCAATGGGAAATAATTTGGGTTTAAAAATGTATTTAATTCAGATTTAGATACTAGAGATCCTAAGGACATATTGACGTATTGATTGGGATTAGCCAGTTGTGTATGTGGAAGGAAATGAGTAGGTTTTAATTCATCTGCAACTGGTCTCTTAATTAGCACAGAGTTTGGTACCACATACACCTGGAATGAGGAAACTAACAGCTACTGTTTATTGAATGCCAAATATGCTTCCGAGTGTATTACTATGTTATCTTACATATTTCTACAACCAAATATGTGAGATATTATCGCCTTCACTTGACAGCTAAACTGAGACTCAGAGAATTGAAATCATCTGTTGACGATTACATAGTTCGTAGGGGATGGAGCTGGAGTTTGTTCCCATGTCTGTCTTGTACTCTGCTTGAATACTCTTTCTTTTTTCTTTTTCTTTTCTTCTTCTTCTTTTTTTTTAATTCACCATAGGGCACAGATACTCACCAGAGGGAGAGACAAAGAGAGAGAAAGTGAGAAAGTACTCCCCCTGAAGGGGATGGTCATCCACAATCCTTTCTCCTGCATTTCTCCCTCCTTTCAGGATTTTGGGCATGCATACACACCCGGCATGTTTTTTAAGTTGCCTGTTTTGGGATTCAAACCTCACAGTCATCCATGTGCGATCTAGCTACCCTAACCACTGTTACAGGCTGGCCCAAATGCTGTTTTCTCTTATACAGTGTCTCTGTTCATCATATAACTGTGGTGATGCCTTGTTGTACCAGTTCATTTTTATTCTCCTTTTGCCTTGACCAGAGGAGGCTGTGGTGCTCTTACGCCCTCAAATCGGAATAATTTGTGCAGTGAATATTCACACTTATAGTGTTTCTGGGTTATTCTGCGTCCCCAGTAACAACCCTGCCCCACTCCCACTCGATTCCATATTAGTCCCATTGTTGCCTTTCATTCATCTGTGATAGGCCCCAGTGAACTTTGTACTTACATATACTCCTTTTTTTAAACTTTATTATTTTGTTATTACTATTATTATTATTTTCCAGCTTGATCAGAGAGAGAGAAACAGAGAGAGGAAAAATGAGAAAGCAAGCCACTATTTCCAGGACTCGAACCACAGTCAGCCATGTGGGAGTCCAGCGCCTTTAACCACCAGACGACCTGCAGGCCCCATACTTGTGTACACTCTTGACCTTGGGTTTTCTGTGTCAGCCTGTGCTAGAGCTTCAATGTTTGTGTCCCTCCAAATTTGTATGTTGAAGTCCTTACCCAAAAAGTGATGGTATTAGGAGGTGGGATCTTCGGGAAGCTCTTTGGCAGAGTCCTCACGAATGGATCAGTGCTCTTATAAAAAGAGGTCTGAGAATGCTGTCTTGCCCCTTCCACTGTGTGAGAACACAAAGAAAAGATGGCCGTCTTTGAACCAGGAAGCAGGCCCTCACTAGGCATGGAGTCTGCCAGCACCTTGATGTTGAGGTTTCTCAGCTTTGAGAACTGTGTGAAATAAATTCTTGTTGTTTATAAGTCACTAGCTTGTGGTATTTTGCTACACCATCCTCAGCGGACTAGGACAGCCTGATCTCCTCATTTTCCTTTCTAATAGGCCATCAAATCTGCTTAGAATTTTTTCTTCCTCAACCCAAGTAGTGTAATTATCGAGGCACTAAAAATCTATATTCCAAGCAGTTTGATTACTTGAAAACTAAGGGAGTATTTTCAGGGTTCAGTCCTGAGATTAGAGCCTTGATTCTCCTCTAGCACATGGCTGACCACAGTTCAAATCCTTGACCTGGCGGCTTGCTTTCTCACATTCTCTCTGTCTGTCTCTCTGTGTCTCACTCTGGTCAAATTAAAAAATAATAATGATAAATAAAGGAAATCTTTTTTAAAAAAGGAAAGAAAATCATAACAAATACATAAATGTTTTTTTAGAATTATTTATTTAATTAATTAATTTATTCATTCATCTTATTTTTCAATTTGACCAGAAAGACAGAGAGAGAGAGAGAGAGAGAGAGGGGGAAAGTGAGAAAGCAAGCCACCAGGTCCGAGACTCGAACCGTGGTCAGCCATGTGGGAGTCCAGCACCCTTATCCACCATGCCATCTGTCGGCCCCACAAATACATAAATGTTTTTAAAAAGCTAACACTTTTTCTTCTGATTATTAAAGTGATTATAATGGATTTGTTACATATGATAATTTGGCGTTTCCATTATTTTATAATACTTTTTATGGTACCTTATTAAGAGTTTTTACTTATCTTAGTGATCCTATGACAACATTGTGGAGCATCTTATTTTATAAATGACAAAACTGAAGAATAAAGATGTTAAAATAACCAAAAGTTTCATGTCTCTAAGTGAGGCTATAACTTGCGGGGGGGTTGGTTTTTTGTTTAGTATTTTCTTTCTTTTTTAAAAAAATTTGTTCATTGTCATTGTTTTATTTTATTTATTTTTTTTGAAGTTGACCAGAGAGAGACAGAGAGAGAGAGAAGGAAAGTGAAAAAGCAAGCTGCCAGGTCTGGGATTCAAAACGTGGTCAGCCATGTGGGAGTCCAGCCACCATAATTACCCTGCCACTTGCCAGCCCCAGAACCTGGGATTTTAGTATCAAAGTCACATGTTCTGCCCTTACTGCTTTCTAAGTAATCTAAGAAATTGCGTTTTTTCCTTTTTTATTTTTATTTATTTTTAGAGATTTTTGCTATTGGGTGTGCATGCTTGCCATAGAAACAGAGACAAAGAGACAGAAAGCAAGAAATCACCTCCCGGGGGGGTGGCCTCACCACAATTCCTTCTCCCAAATTGCCCTCTCAGGATTTTGGGCACACACACACGTCCTGTGGTTTTAAGTTGCCTGGTCCGGAACTTGAACCACGGTTGACTACGTGGAAGTCTAGTGACATAACCATTATACCATCTGCTGGTCCCAGTAATCTAAGACATTTCTAATAAATTACTAGGTTTCTAAAAACATCTAGTTATTTCTGTATTGACGTATTGACTGACTCCTAGGTAATGGTATTTGCAGTCTCTGTGTACATGCACACACACACCTGCACTCACTCACTTTAATACAGTTCTTCCTACTTTTGATTGCACATCTTGGGGCTTTCTTTATTTTCTTCCAGTTTTTAAGGATAGTTCCCAGAAAGAGCTGCTGAATTTTACTGGCACCATTCCTGTGATGTATCAGGGTAAGTATAGATGTTGAGAAAATGTGGGCATTTTCTAAAAGAGCAGTTCGCAAGCTTGTATCGTTTATGCCATAACCCTGTCAAAGCATTTTGCTGGTATGTGATCTCTGCAGAGACTTACTGGATCGGGCAGGAGCTGTCCCAGGGCTGGATTCAGGTCAAAAAGTTCACTTCAATTTAACAAATATTAATCGTCAGCTGTATGCCCACTGCTCCAATAGATTCTGGGGTGCAGAAGAGAGCAAGACAGACATGGGCCCGCCCTAGGGGGGAGTTACCTGTTCTCCATAGCAAAGTACAGGGTTCCCCCCTCCTTCTCTATTATAGCTATGTTTTGTTCCCTCTTCCTTTCCTTCTACGTGATTTAGCATTATCCCTGTTCATAGATGAAACTGAATCTTTGTCTGAACAAGTTATTCAACTAAGACCACGCTGCTAGTGTGTGGCTGAAATGTCAAACGCTTTTTAAAAAATATTTATTCATTTACTCATTCATTAATTTTTAATTTGACCAGAGAAAGAGAGAGAGAGAGAGAGAGAAATTGAGAAAGCAAGCCACCAGGTCCAGGACTTGAACCTTGGTTAGCCATGTGGGAGTGTCCAGTACCTTGCCCACCATACCACCTGCTGGTCCCAGAATGTCAAACTCTTTTTTTATTTTTTTTAAAGTTTATTTATTCATTCATTTATTTTTAATTTGACAGCAAGAGACACAATGAGAAAGCGAGAGACAAAGAGGGGAAAGCAAGCCACCAGGTCCGGGAATCAAACCGTGGTCAGCCACGTGGGAGTGTCCAGTGCCCCAACCACCATGCCACCTGCTGGTCCCAAAATGTCAAACTCTTAAGGGGAAAGTGTTTTCATTTTTTTTTAAAGAATTATTTATTAATTTTATTTATTATTATTATTTTTTATTTGCTGTAGGGCATATGTGCTCATTAGAGAAGGAGAGAGAGAGGGAAAGCAAGTTACCAGGTCTGGGACTCAAACCATGGCCAGACATGTGGGAGTTCAGCACCCCAAACACTGTGCAACATACTGGCCCCTAAGAAGAAGTCTTAAAACACAAGACAGTGAAGCTCAAAGAAAGCAGAACATTGAGGCTGGAAAATGGCATGGTGGTTAAGAGTACTGGACTCTCACATGGCCGACTGCAGTTCAAGTCCCGGATCTGGCAACTTGCTTTCTCACTTTCCTTTCCTCTCTCTCTCTCGCTCTGGTCAAATATAAATGAATAAATGAAGTTAACTTTTTAAAAAGGCAGAACATTTTAGAGTGACCTGACAAGTTAATATAGCTAAGGGTTTGGCCAAAAAGAAAGAAAAATAAACCACTAACTTTGATACTTAACTCTTCCCATTTGTCTTGACCTACATTCTTCTATGTTCTATGTTCAGTAATAACTAACTTTCCCAGTAGGCATCATAGTAAGTTACTTTTTCTTTTAAAGAATTATTTTATTTATTTATTTATTTATTTATTTTAATTTTACCACAGAGAGACACAGAGAGAAAAAAAGTGAGAAAGTGAGCCACCAGGTTCAGGACTCGAACTGTGGTTGACCGGTCAACCGTGTGGGAGTGTTCAGTGCCTTAACCACCACACCACCTGCTGACCCCAAGTAGGTTACTTTCATAGTATGATTTCAAGAATACCGCCTTCTTCAAGAGATAGACAGCTCCATGGCTCCTGTGATCTAGCCATTTGGGGAGAAAGGAAGATGTCCCACTGATAACTGGGCCTCCAGCATCCAAAACTCGCGTGATTGAACTTCCAAGTTTGGGAAGAAACCGATCATCCACCAGATGACTAGAAATCGCTGCAGGACCACAAGAAATATGGGGAAGCAGGAAAATACCTCTCCCACAAGGGAAAAGGATAGCTCCTCTTTATCCACACACAGTTCAATGGAAATCATGGAAATGTCTGATAAAGAATTCAGAACATTCATAATGGCAAAGCTAACAGAGATGGAAGAGAAGAGAGACAAGGAACTGCTGAAGAGGAAGGAGAAAGGAGTTGAAGAGTTCCAGGAGGTAAGGAAATTCATGCAAGATCTAAAAGAGGAATTTCACACTTTACAAAAGAATCAGATGGAACTGTTAGAGATGAAGGCTATAATACAAGAAGTCAAAATCTCCCTTGAAAGTATTAAAAGCAGACTAGATCATACAGAAAATAGAATCTCTAATGTAGAAGAGAAAATGGTTGGCCTAGAAAAATCCACCGCGAAGACTGAGAAAATGGCCCAAAAATTTGAGAATAATATGCGAGAAGTACTAGATACCATCAAACGTCCAAACATCCGGATAATAGGCATCCCAGAAGGTGAAGAGACTCATAAGGGCATTGATAATCTATTCCATGAAATCTTACAAGAAAATTTTCCAAACCTGGAGAGGCACTCAAAGATTCAGTCCCAAGAAATACAGAGGACCCCAAATAGAATCAACCCAAGAAGATCTTCTCCAAGACACATTATAGCCAGATTGACCAAAACCACAGACAAAGACAAGATACTAAGACTGGCAAGAGAAAAAAGGCAAGTTACCTACAAAGGGTATCCCATCAGACTAACGGCAGACCTCTCATCGGAAACAATGAGAGCGAGGAGAGAATGGGAAAATGTATTCAAAGTATTAAGGGAAAAGCAATTTCAACCGAGAATTCTGTACCCAGCAAGGTTATCGTTCATTTGGGAAGAAAAGACACGAACTTTCCCAGATAAACAAAACCTGAAAGAATTTACCAGCACCAGACCGGATCTCCAAGAAGTTCTTAAGGGAGTGCTATGTCAGTAAAATTAAATGCAGACACACAGAAATAAGAGTTCAGAAACTAAGAAAATGGGCAACTTAATTGTAGGGCCAAAAGCTGGAGTTGAGTATTACATCCCAGATTTCAATCTGGAACATCGAACCTCAACAGATACAGAAGAAAGATTAAGTACATGAGACTGAACTGATGAAACAGTATTCTATGACTTGACTAAAATATTGCTACTTTTCTTCTAAGCTTTGTTGTCTGGTTTTAAGGATTTTTGTCCTGTCTTCAGCTATCAATAGATTCATGTTCCTACTATTTGAACAGAATACTAACCTGTTTCTAGGCTTTAAGTTTCAAAGAAATATCCTTACCAGTTCAAAACTGCTTTTCTAGAAACCATCGGCTGATCTTGCTATTGAAAGTAGTTAGATTACTTATGATATTGTGTGATCAACGAAATGTTGGGGGAAAAGGGATTGAAAACAACTGTAGACAGCAGAGATAGTGTAATAAGAGAGTGGAATAGGGCAGAGGGCTAGACATGGGGTAAAAAACATATATATGAAAGTAGAAATGGAATATTATGGATGATAACATGCATTATTAAGCCACTATGCAGTATATTCTAGATGGGAAACCACACTTAGAATGTTGTGATGATGCTCAGGGAATGAATGTAAATTAATAAAAAAAAATTTCAGAAGAAAAAAAAAAGACATAAAAAGATTTCTTGGCTTTTCTTTTCAAGCCAATAAAAAGAATACCAAGGAAACTTTGGTCCCAAAAGATTTCTCTGGAGGGTGTCTGAAAGTGCACCATTAAAAGTTCATTCTTCTTTTAAAATGAAAATAATTTCAGGAAGGATAACATTCTAAACCACCAATATACAAGATTGTGCTTATAGGAAATTCTCCATAAATATTTGTAGAATGAGTGAATTAATTTATTTGATAACTGACTGGAGGGATTAGGAATAAATGAAAAGACAGGTTATTTATGAATAAATAATATAGTCAAAAGAGGGCTGAGAAGGATCTGGGAACAAAGTAGAAAGAGAATGGTGGAGCTTGCTGTCTCCTATAAGGCGTTCAGCATTGGGCCGGCAGGCGGCATGGTGGTTAAGGGCGCTGGACTCTCAGCCGACTGATTCAAGACCTGGACTCGGTGGCTTGTTTTCTCACTCCACTCCCCACCCCTGTCCCCTCTGGTCAAATTAAAGTAAGGAAGTAATTATGTAAGTAAATAAATAAATAAATAAAGTTTAAAAAAAAGAGAAAGGGAGACCAGCAGTTAGCGTAATGGCTATGTCGTTGAACTCCCATGTAGTCGACTGCAATTCGAGTCCCAGACCCAGGGGCTTAAACTCACTCCGGGCATGTGTGCATGCATGCCCAATATCCCGAGAGGAGAATGGAGGAGAAGAGATTGCAGCGTGGCCATCCCCTGGGGGGTGATTTCTCACTTTCTGTCTCTCTGTCTCTGTCTTTCTGGCGAGTGCACACGCCCTATAGCAAAAACCTCTCAGAAAAAAAAAAAATAGAGAAAGGATTCAACATTGTACAATGGGAATAAATTGCCTCAAAGATGTCAGGAAGCTGTATTTTGTGGGGGACTTCTTTTTTTAAAAAAAGAATTATTTATTTAATTAATTTATTTTTAATTTGACCAGAGAGAGAGAGAGGGAAAGTGAGAAAGCATGCCACCAAGTCCAGGACTTGAACCATGTGGGAGTCCAGTGCCTTAACTACCATGCCACCAGCCAGCCCCATGAGGGTCCTCTCACAAAGAAGGTGCTTCTTCACGGTAGTCCCTTAGTCCGTCAGCAACTACTTAATTTGTTCCCCTCCCTGCCGCGATTACAGGGACACTCACGTGAAGTTCTGCTTCTGGGTCTTTTCCACCTTGACAGCTCCTTTGGCACTGGGTAGGCACTCCAGAAACACAGGGATTCTATCTGTTCTCTTACGTAGGAACGAAATGGAAGCTGCTACCACGGGTTCTGTGCAGATTCGGGCGAGGCCGGCAGAGCAGAGTGGGTTCTCCTTTCCTTCCTGGCTCCTCTCCTGCCACGCGCTCAGATTTTGCTGGCTGCCCAGAGAACTTTATTCAGACCTGCGCCTTATATTTTTACTCTGCAGTTATCTTGGTTAGATGGTAAAAAGAAAAGGAGGGGGATGGGCAAAGGGACTAGGGAACAGAGAAAGGGAGAAAAGCTGACGAAGGAAGTTCAATCTGAGTGATGAAGCACGGTTCTTACCGCAGTGATCAAGGGCAGGTGCACATTAGCAGAATTATGAATTAAGTGAACCACTGTGTTTTGGTTTTCAGGAAGTGTGGGGTGGTAAGGTTATCTTGGGGGCAGAAAGGTTATCTTTTTGTTGTTGTTAGTTTTTTGCCATAGGGCACATGTGCTCCCTGGAGAGAGAAAAAGAGAGGGAAAGTGAGAAATCACCTCCAGGGAGAGGGGAGAGGGGTATGGCCATGCCCTAACTCCCTCTCCTCCATTCTCCTTTCAGGATCTTTTGACACACACCCAGCATGATTTTCTTTCTTTGTGTGTTTTTTGTTTGTTTGTTTGTTTTGAGAGAGATTTTTGCTATAGGGTGCATGTGTTTACTGGAGAGACAGAGAGAGGCAGGGAGACAGAAAGCAAGAAATCACTCACAGGGGGCGGGGAGGGTGTATGTCCACGCTGCAATCCCTTTTCCTCCATTCTCCTCTCCGGATTTTGGGCATGTGTGCACATGCACCTACCGTGAGTTTCAAACGTGGGAGTCCAATGATGTAACCATTACATCATCTTCTGGTCCCCTCACAATGATATTCTAGCCACCAGGTCTGGAACTTGAACTGCTGTTGGCCATGTGGAAATCTAGCACCTTACCTACTATGCCACCTGCTGGCTCAAAGAAAGATGATCTTTTTTTTTTTAAAGAATTATTTTATTTAACTTCATTCATTCATTCATTCATTCATTCATTCATTTTAATTTGACTAGAGAGGGGCAGAGTGAGAGAGCGAGAGAGGGAAAGTGAGAAAGCAAGCTGCCAGGTCTGTGACTCAAAACTGCAGTTGGCCATGTGGGAGTCCAGCACCCTTAACCATCATGCCACTTGCTAGCCCCAAGATAATCTTAATACCGTCAGTGAGATGCCCCTCACTGGCATTCTTGCCTGTTATACAACCATTTACATCATTGATAGTTATGCTGGGGTTTTTCTCAAAATACAAGGTAAATGCTACATCCCTATACCATAAATATAATGTGTATGCTTCATTTGAAAATAATTATTTGAAAATGTGTTTATTTTTGTCTCAAATAGGTAATACCTATAACATCCCAATTTGTTTTTGGATTTTGGATTCTCACCCGTTTGCTCCCCCCATCTGCTTCTTGAAGCCAACTGCGAATATGGGGATCTCGGTTGGAAAACATGTGGATGCTCACGGCAGAATATACTTGCCCTATCTCCAGAACTGGAGCCATGTAAGATCAGTGTGGATTTTCTTCAAACATTTTTATTTTCCTGAATTGTTTATCTTTAATCCTGATGATACAAATAAGTATAATACTATGTTTTCTTTCCTTTTTCTTTTCCCCTCCCCCCTCCTACCTTCTCTTCTCCTTTTCCAAATTTGTCAGAAGGTGTATGCACTCACCAGACAGAGAGGGAGAGGGAGAAAGGACCGCTCAGTGGGGCATGGTCACACCACAACCCTTCTCCATTAGTCCATCCTGTTGGGGTCTTAGGCCTACATGCATATGTGCCTGACATGTGTTTTAAGCCAGTGGGGCCAAGATTCGAACCATGCAGTTGTCTGTATGGAATCTAGCTTTCTTAACCAGTAGGCCACAGGGTTGGCCCTACTGTATTTTCTTTCACTGATATTCTTCATCACTCATGCATTTCTAAAATCCTGAAAGGAAAATGGAGAAGGGATTGCAACATGGCCATCTCCTTGGGACTCAATGTGTTGGCCATGTCGAAATCCAGCACTTTAACCATCACACCACTTGCTGGCCCCAAGACATTACATTATTTTAATTGTCCTATTTAAATGATTACAGTGTCTTTAAGTTCCACATGCTGTTAGAATTGTAATTACGCAGTGTACGTATATGGGATTTAGAAGTTAGGGGACTCCAGAGGTCGTCCCCAAGAGATTCATTAGGCCTACAGAATTTTGTTTGAACACAGTGGTTTTATTTTGTTCTTAATATGAATTTAATATTTATAGATATTCTTGCCAATTTGCCACAATAACCATTTTTTCAGATTTTCTTTTTTCTTTTTCTATATATTTGTCATAGGGACAGAGAGAGACAATGGGAAAATAAGAAATTACCGCTTGGGGGGATGGCCATGCCTTAATCCCTTTTCTTCCATTCCCTTCTTTGGATTTTGGCACATGTATATGTACCTGGTATGATTTTCAAGCCACTGGGTTTGAACTGTTGTTGGCCATTTGAGAATTCAGTGCCTTAACCACCTGCCACCTGCTGGCCCCTTTCCAAATTTTCTTATACTTGGCAACTTCACACACTTAATCTTTGTTTGCTTATTTGTTTTTTGGGTTTTTTTTTTTTTTGCTGCCATAGCGTGTGTACACTTCTCAGAAAGAGGCAGAGAGAGGGAATAACTCCCCTAGGAAGTTATGGGGATCTCCCCTAGGAAGGATAGCCATGCCACAATCCTTCTCCATTCTGCTCTTGGGATTTTGGGCACATGTGCACATGTGCTGAGTTTGAGTTTCAAGCTGCTGGGTCAGGGATTTGAACTGTGGTTGACCGTTTGCAAATTTCACACCTTAAATACCACACTACCTTCTGGCTTCCACACATTTAATATACCTATTTTTTTCTTTTTCTTTTTTAGAGAGGTTTTTGCTATAGGGTGCATGCACTTGCTGGAGAGACAGAGAGACAGAAAGCAAGAAATTACTCCCTGTGGGGATGGCCATGCCTCAATCCCTTCTCCATTCTCCTCTTAGGATTTTGGGCACACACGCACATATGCCCAGTGTAACTTTTAAGTTGCCAGGTCCAGGACTTGAACCACAGTCGACTACATGGGAGTCTAGTGACGTAACCATTATGCCATCTGCTGGTCCCAACATATTTAATCTTATACGCTGGTCCCTGACGCTGTTTGAATTTTTGACCCAAATGACCTCATCTTAATTTATAAATGGCAAAACCCAGACTCAGAGAAATTAAGTGCTTTTTAAATGAGCATACATTTATAATAATAATAATAAACATCTGTTTTGCATTTACAGATTATAGTCTGCATGCATTAAGTCATTTGTTTCTCATAACAGCCATCTGAGATTTATTATGCACATCATATCACAGATGGCTCTGAAGGGCAGAAAGGCTAAGTGAGTTTTACTAAGTTTGCTTAATAGTTAAATAAGAAGAAACCAGTACCATAGTCAATAATATTTTTAAAAAAGAATTATTTTATTTAACTATTTATTTATTTATTTTCAATTTGGTCAGAGAGGGACAGTGTGAGAGAGAGGGAAAGTGACAAAGTAAGCCAACAGGTCCGGGACTCGAACTGTGTTCACATGGTCAGCCATATGGGAGTCCAGCGCCCTTAACCACCACGCCACCTGCCAGCCCCTCAGTAATATTTTATCAGTGTTAATTTTCTGATTTTATAATGGCTTTGTCAGAGTCTACCCCGTCCTTTTCTTTTGTAAGGAAATGTACTCTGAAGTATTCAGGGATAAAGGAGCATCATGGGTACGGTGTACTCTCAGTACAGAATATGAAGAGACAGACTAAGAAAGCAAGTGTGATAAAGACGAATGGGTAGGCTGGGGAAGAGTATATGTACTGTCGGGTTGCTGGGAAAGTCAGGATGGATTTTTTTGTTTATCTATGCAAAAATATGTCATAACTTTTCTGTCGGGTTGCTGGAAAAGTCAGGATGGATTTTTTTCTGTTTATCTATGCAAAAATATGTCATAACTTTTCCAACAAACCAATACTTTTGTGACTTTTCCTTAAGTTTGAAATAAAAATAGTTATAAAAACAGTTCTTGGGCCAGCAGGCGGCATGGTGGTTAGGAGCAGTGGACTCACACATGGC